CAAGAGCGCATCGGCAGCGGACGAGAAGGCGAGAAAGCTGCGTCAAGCAGGTCTGAAACAGCGGACTGCCAGTGGCAAGGGCCCTTCGACCATTGCGAATAAGACTATGATGTCCAAGACTGCATTGGTAGCAGCATCCCAAGCCAAACAAGCCCATAATGATTCCAATAACACAGCTGTTCAAACTCAGCCTAAGCGCCACGAGGAACTTTCGGCAACAATCGAGGGCATCCGCGTTGTCCTCATCGGCGATGTCCACGAACTTCCCATTCTAGACCTGGGTATCAAGAACTTCACCGCCACGGCCGAAGACTGGTCTTCGAATCTCAAAGCTGAGACTGCGATCGATATCTATACGAACGTGTACAACTTTTCAAAGTCGGCGTGGGAGCCTCTGCTAGAGCCTTGGCAGGTCGGATTTGGCATTGCGAGAGAGCAACAGTCGGGGCTCTTGTCCATTGACGTCGCTTCCAAGAAGATCTTTGATGTCACAATCACGACAGCTACCATCGCTTTGGCGTCCAAGTCCTTCGCTTTCCTTAGCAAGGACGAGGATGTTCTTGGCAAACCGCGTGGTGTTGACGCCCCTTACCGCATCCGGAACTATACCGGATTTGATGTTGTCGTACAGTCCAAGAGTATGACGACGGACGACAACATGACCGCGCGTCTCGAGGACGGGCAGGAAGTCCCTTGGAGCTTCGAGCCGTGGGAGAAGATGCGAGAGAACCTCTTGACCGAGAGCAGTACTGGTAGTGTCGGCATTCACTTGGAAGGTAGTGGCTTTGACCCGGTCAAGAACGTCAGGCTGAACCGTGAGGGTGAAGCGATCTACGGCCTCAAGCCGAAGACTGACAACATTTTGCATCGACTTCTCGTGGAGGTCACCTTGGGCAAGGACAACGTCAAATATGTCACTCTACGATCGCCCCTCGTAGTTGACAACCTCACCCAGATCCCAGTCGAGCTCGGTGTCTACGACGCGCAAGAAGGCCATCTGCTCAAGATTGAGAAGATCGCGCCCGGTGAAAGCCGCCCAGCTCCTGTGGGTGCTGTGTTCTTGAAGTCTCTGCTGGTACGGCCCGACTCTGGATTTGGCTACGCCTGGTCCTCTGAGACCTTGTGGTGGAGAGATCTCTTGAAGCGGCCAACACGGACGATGGTTTGCAAGGGGGAAAATGGGGACCCGTTTTACTTCCAGCTCAACGCCACCTTTGATCGGTCGAACCCTTTGACCAAGTAAGTCTGCCATCATCTTAACATGATCCTTGACTAATCTCTCGTTTAGAAACTATCCTTACATGCGCATCAAGCTTTCGCCTCCAGTCATCCTCGAGAACTTGCTTCCTTACGACTTCAAGTATCGCATCTACGACAAGAACACCAAAAAGGACTGGGCAAACTTCCTCCGCAAAGGTGGTCTTAGCCCCGTACATGTTGTAGAGCTATCACATCTCCTCCTCCTCAGTGTTGACATGCAGGACACTGTCTTCAAACCCAGCGACTTTGCCATCATCAACTCCGGGGCTTCGGATGATTTCAAAAAGGAAGACAGGCTGCTCTGCAAGGACGAGGAAGGCTTGCAGCTCAACCTCAAGCTCCACTACCACAAGATCCCTGACAGCGGTGGAGCTTTCCGAGTCACCGTCTACAGTCCCTACATCATCCTGAACAAGACTGGTCTTGATCTGCAGATCAGAGCCAAGGGCTTCTTGCAGGGCGCACGACCTGCAGCCGGACAGTCGACTCTGTCCTCCAGGTCTGGCAATAGCCGTCCTAGAGCTACGCCATTCATGTTCTCTTACGGCAACGACGATCATAGAAACCGAGCCTTGCTGCAGATTGCGGATTCGGAATGGAGCAAGCCGCAGAGTTTTGACGCCATCGGAAGCACAACCGAGGTGGTGCTGCCCTCGCCCTCCAGGAACACTGAGGTGCACATTGGCATCACCACCGAGGCTGGAGAAGGCAAATACAAGATGACCAAGGTCGTTACCCTCGCACCACGATTTGTTCTGGAAAACAAGCTTGGAGAGGAGATCAACGTACGCGAGTCTAGCTCCTCTGGGTTTATGACGCTGAAGCCCGGCGCCCATGAGCCACTTCACTTCATGCAGAAGACCTCCATTAAGCAACTTTCGTTATGTCATCCCGGCATGAACAACCAGTGGACCTCTCCTTTCAACATATCAGACATTGGAACCACCCACGTCAAGATCGCCAAAGCAGGCCAACGCCAACGTCTGATTCGCGCTGAGATCTTGATGGAGGGTGCAACAATCTTCCTGCATCTCAGCTTGGAGACGAGGAATTGGCCCTACCAGATGCGAAACGAGAGTGATACGGAATTCACATTCTACCAGGCCAACCCTAGTCTGGACGATGATGGAGTTGAAGACAGATCCGGCTGGAGGCCAATCAAGTATAGGCTGCCGCCTAGGAGCATCATGCCATACGCATGGGATTTCCCGGCTGCCAAGTTCCGTGAGATCATCATCAACGCCCATGGCAAGGAAAGACATGTCAAGCTCGCGGAAATCGGCAATCAGATTCCAATGAAGTTCGCGACAACATCCGGACAACAGAAGATTATCGACATCAATGTTGCCGCTGACGGACCTACCCAGACGATGATTCTGTCCAACTTCAGGCAATCCAAGAGTCTGTATCGACAGAAGTCCAAGTCCGGATCTCGCACGAGCACCGATGGCTTTGAGGTCAAAGACCAAGAGACGACAGCAACCTTCCGCGCTCAGCTGAAGCTTTCGGGTATTGGAATTTCGCTCATCAATTCACAACTAAAGGAACTTGCATACGTCACATTTAGAGACGTCTCTCTTCGTCACCACGACTCTCCTCTACATCAGACTATCGCTCTATCTGTTAAGTGGATTCAAATAGACAACCAGCTGTACGGCGGTCTGTTTCCGATGATCTTGTACCCGAGTGTCGTGCCAAAGAGGGCTCAAGAGGTCGACGCACATCCTTCGCTTCACGCCATGGTTACTCGCGTGAAGGACGATTCCTACGGGGTGCTGTACATCAAGTATGCGACACTGTTGATGCAGCAGATGACAATCGAGCTCGATGAGGACTTTGTTTACGCGGTCTTGGACTTCTCCAATATTCCTGGGGCCGCCTGGTCAGACACCAACGAGGAAGGCAAACTCTGTGACGAGGAGCTAGACATCCCAGAGCCGCAGCGGCAGCAGTCTGGCCAAGACATCTACTTCGAGCTGCTCAACATCCAGCCCATGCAACTCGACCTCTCCTTCATGCGCACCGAACGAGTCAATGCCGAGGACAAGACGTCGTCTCGAAACCCTCTCATGTTCTTCCTCAATGTCATGACGATGGCCATCGGTAATATCAACGACGCGCCGATTCGCCTTAATGCACTCATGCTAGACAACGTTCGCGTGTCCGTGGCTGCCTTGACACAAAACATCACGAGTCACTACAGCCAAGAAGTTCTCTACCAGGTTCACAAGATCCTCGGGTCTGCCGACTTCCTCGGAAACCCCGTTGGTTTGTTCAATAACATCAGCTCCGGCCTCACGGACGTGTTCTACGAACCCTACCAAGGCCTCATTCTTTCGGACAAGCCCGAGGACTTTGGTATCGGAGTTGCGAAGGGAGCCGCGTCACTTGTCAAAAAGTCTGTCTACGGCTTCACCGATTCCTTCTCCAAATTCACTGGGAGCTTGTCCAAGGGCCTTGCAGCTGCGACTCTCGACAAGCAATTCCAAGATCGTCGTCGCATTACGCGTGCACGCAATCGGCCCAAACATGCTCTGTATGGGGTCACCACCGGCGCCAACTCTTTCTTCACAAGCGCCGCTTCTGGCGTGGGTGGACTCGTCCGCAAGCCGTTGGAGGGTGCCGAGCAGGAGGGCGCTGTTGGATTCTTCAAGGGAATCGGCAAGGGTGTCGTCGGATTCGCTACCAAGCCCGCTATTGGCGTTCTAGACATGGCCTCGAATGTCTCGGAAGGCATCCGCAACACGACCACCGTCTTTGACGGCTCAGAACTCGATCGCGTCCGCCCTGCTCGATTCGTGCCCTCTGATGGTATCGTGCGACCGTACAATGCCCGGGAAGCCCTTGGCCAGTCATGGTTGAAGCAGGTCGACAATGGCAAGTACTTCAACGAGAACTACATTGCCCATCTCGAACTGCCACGCGAGGACATGGTTGTCATGGTCACTTACGCTCGGATTTTACTTATTCGTAGCCGGCGACTGACGTCGGAATGGGATGTGCCCCTCAAGGACGTACAGACGATTGCCAAGGAGCGGACTGGCCTGAGCCTGACGCTGAGGGGAGGCACGAACGGTCCGTTCCTACCTGTTGGCGATGAAAGTGGCCGCGCCTTTTTGTACAAGATGGTGGCCGTCGCTGTGGAGGAATTCAACCGCCGGTTCAGGGGACTCGAATAAGGCGGGAGATGGGTGGTGTGACACTGTGGCCGGGTAACAGGCCGAGGCTGGTTCGAATACATGAGGGCAGGTCTTTTTGACTTGATTCACAATTACTTCTCTTCTTTTTGAGGCCTGTAAGCATAGCCTCGCGATTTCATTAGCAATCACGTATACTTTATCTTGTCTTGTGTTAGCACGTTAGGACCCTTTGCTACTTTTATACAAAGGCCTCATCAGATTGCAGATCTTTTGTGAGCTCACGGCTTCTGGCAAAGTACACGGGCAGTAAAAACCCCTCCCTCCCTGGTATCAGTTGTCACGTTCATCACTTGCCAGCGTATTTACATTTCAGTCATGGCAATCGCAACAAGAAAGGAGTGTGGGTGTATTATCTTCCAAGTGACCAAGTTCAACCAAGATGCGCTATTATACTAAAATCAGAAAAGAACAAACGCCCTAATGCTATGCTCAAACTCCACCGTGTAATGCCATCTATACCATCTTCCATTCTCGCATGCTCATCAACCACGATTGACGATCCGTCTATGTATGTCCAACTCCTTGTCAAACACCGACCCCTTAGTTGGAGGGGCAGTAGCCGATAGTGCAAGCGTCAGACTTGCAGCAGCCGCGGAAGCCGTTGGCGCAGGACTGGAAGAAGCCGGTGCCGGGGGCGCAGACAGTGGGATCAGCGTTGGCGTTGGACTTGCTCTCGGGGGTCGGGGTGGCGGTCGTCTGAGGGGCCGTCTTGGTCACCGTCTCAAAGGTCTTGATGTCCGGGCAGTAGCCAATGGTGCAGGCGTCCTGCTTGCAGCACCCGCGGAAGCCGTTGGAGCACGACTGGAAGAAGCCGGTGCCGGGGGCGCAGACTGTAGGGTCGGCGGCGCGCTTTGAGGAGGAGGAGGCGATGGCCAGGTCGGGGCAGTATCCCAAGGTGCAGGCGTCGGATTTGCAGCAGCCGTGGAAACCGTTTGAGCAGGACTGGAAGAAGCCGGTGCCAGGGGCACAGACGGTGGGATCCTGACGCTTCTCCGAGGCAGAGGTAGTAGGGCAGTAGCCGAGAGTGCAGGCGTCAGACTTGCAGCATCCACGGAAGCCGTTGGAGCAAGACTGGAAGAATCCGGTGCCGGGAGCGCACACTGTCGGGTCCTGACGCTTCACAGAGGCCGAGGGGCAGTAGCCAATGGTGCAGGCATCCTCCTTGCAACATCCACGGAAGCCGTTGGAGCAGGACTGGAAGAAGCCGGTGCCGGTAGGGCAGACGGTGGGGTCGGTGGATTGCTGGCTGGTCGAGTGACCGGGGTTGACGGGGGTGGTCTCGGCCGGAGCGTTGGCGGAGGTTCCGGTCACGCCGGGGCAGTAGCCGATGGTGCAGGCGTCGGCCTTGCAGCAGCCGCGGAAGCCATTGGCACAGGACTGGAAGAAGCCAGTACCCGGAGCGCAGACAGTGTCATCGCGCTTGGTGTCGAGGGAAGGGCTCGCCGAGGCAAGAGTTGCGACGGCAGCGAGGAAAGTGAGGACAATGGAAGAATGCATTGTTGATTAAAAGATGTGGCGGATTCGAGTTTAGATTAAGCAGAAGTTGACGATTGTGAGAGTGATGGAGTCGAGGTTTGCAGATTGAACGATTGTCCCAAGGAAAGAGAAACCGACAAAGGAAATAAGGAAATAGGAAAGAAAAAAGAGGAAAAGAAAATGTTAAGTTGTAAACGAGCTGTTTGAAGTGATTGTTGATGAGAAAGAGACGCCATATCGGGGGAGGAACCAAGTTGGATTTATACACATCTCACAAGAACTGAGAGACAGGTTGTTTGAACGGAAACTATTTCCATTGCCATCTCTCAGAGTAGCCTATGCCTTGCCTCAACCGGCTGTGCGTTCAGAGGGATCTGGCAAAGAGGCCGCGACGCGACAGTAAGCCCGCCATTATCGTGACCAAGGCGTGTGGTTCCTCCTAAGCCGAAATTGGAGTGTAAATCAGACAGCACGTCGGAAGTCTGCTGCGCATACGCACCGCCCGCTGAACTCCCGGAGCTGAAAGCACGTCGCCCTACGGAATAAAGTATGGCATAGGCTATGCAGAGTGAGACGGGCATCTGCATCCCTTGCATCCGGGTGTGATGAATCCTTCTTCATCTTCTTCCCCCGGGCTCGGGCCTTTCCGAGCAAATGAGATAGCTGAGGATGCAAGCTGCAGAACCTTGTGGCAGGCAGAGTAGCACCGTCAGCCCCGATTGACAAACGCGATAGGCGTGCGTCGCAGGGCTGAGCTGCAACCCGAGTCTCTGCTGAGCGTCTTGGTGCTGAGGGCGGAGGGACGAGTCGCCGACTAGGACGATTCGAGTCAGGACGATGGCCGCCGGGAGGTGAGCCAAAGGAGTTCCCGAGGCGGCGGCGCAGTTGCACCTGTCAGACGCCAGAGGGCTGGGTCTCACAGACAGTCTCACTTGGACCTCTAGGCTCTCGTGATTAGTCCCATGCCTTTTGCTGACATACCGCTCATTTTGAGCTGCAGTGGTAAGCTTATTCTTGGCTCACGGGACGTTGAGGGGTCGTGCATATCGAGATCTCAGAAGCTAGAGGTGGATGGTTAGAAGTGGAGATAGAAAGGGAGATATGGTGCTACTTTGGCATGGTGGATTGCTCATGTAGTAGCCACGTAGCTTCGTTACCACATGTGCGAAGTACAAAGCATGTACGAATATCAGTCTTAGGAAGAAGCTGACAGCAGACGCGGCGTTGCAGCTGTTGCCAAGGTCCATTGACTGGCCTTTCTATGCAGTATCCATCTGCTCCTAGAACTTCTAACTGCTAAGGGTTCAAGTTAAGAAGCGAGACCGCTGATTAAGCCGCGTTTGCCGTCCCGTGATCATGAACGAACTCACGAGTGGAGGAGGTTCCGCTCCATTTGGGTGGCTCTTTGCGTGGGCGAGTCAAGTGCCGACAGTAGCCAATAAATGGGAGTTCCTGATCAAGAAGATCTTCATCTAGATTGTCGAACCACTGCACAGCGGGTCACATCGAGAGAGCCCTGCAGAAGCTGGAAATGATTCGTGATGGGCCAAGTCCCGAAAGAGAAGGAGGATAGAGAGAATATTCTCCGAACGGCACGCATAACCCGATAGTGGTCCCGATCTGTTGCTCCAACGTCCCCGTCTTGGCTCACGGAGCATCGCCGTTACGGCACGGCGCTTGGCAGTCCGAATGGGAGCAGTTCCAGAAGCATCGGTTCTTGGGCCAGTTCGGAGGGCGGTATGCGGAAGTGCATACCCGGACGTTCTGTATCTGATACGAAGGCTGCGGACACTGTTAATCAAAATAAGGACTTGGGAAATTCTCCCCCTAGGCCGTTTCCAACTTGGCCCCGGCAGTGGGATGCCGATATTTTCTCGTTGGGACGTGGGACATGATGCTGGGTAGAATTTCTGCCGCGCCTAGATCATCAGTCGTCAGCCCCCAGTATGGATCTTGATGTGATCATACCCAAAATGCGGGATGATGGTTGAGACAGTTCCTTAACTCGTTGGGCAGAAGATGCGGCTGGGTCATCTCTTTTTAATCAGTCTGTGGCCCTTGCCGTGGGCAGCGTGTGCCAGACAGACGGAATATACTTTGAGGTTTTGACCACGGCGGGACGAACTGCAACCATGACGCGGCTCATCTGTGCCGTTTCCTTTTGTTTCACCAAAGCTCACCCCAGCGCCGCTCCAGGTCGCCCCCTGGTGGCCCTGGTTCGTCGAGAAGATTTGACCTTGGGTTTTTGCATAGTAGGGATGCTGAGGTAAAGCAGTCCGACAAGCAGTACCCCTGACAAAACTACTGGGGGTAAAGAGAATGGTCTGGCGGCCAGGCCCCGATAGCGCCACTAAGTACTCTATTTCATACCTCTAATACCCATTCGGGACGGCATTTGAGTGAAGCGAGCTCGCTCTTGAGCCCACTGTCTGTGTTGTTCTTTTAATTAATTAACACGGCGTCAGAATCCCGGGTGCAGAGGGTTCAATTTTCGTGATTCGTCAAACAGCCACTCTCTAGAGCACCTGTTCCGTTCAATTTCCCACAAACAATGGGACGGATCGTGGGGTCGCTGGCGGAAGCGGCGTGGGCACTGCAAATGGCGAATCGACCACAGGAGTCGAGGACTCGAGGTAAGGCTACTGGGCCCATTGGTGGAGGAAGTTAGGGGAGATCGGAGGAAGGGATTCCATTTATCACCTCATCAGATCCCTTTTTCTCAAAGAGATACAGATTGATTGTTCTCCCTGTTCATTCCGTCTTCCCATTCCGGTGCCTCTCATTTTCTTTTTTGCTCTTCCAGTTCTCGACATTCCTGTCGGTATTCACTCGTTTTCAAAATCAACAAACATGAAGTTCGCTTCCTTTTCACTCCTTGCGCTGGGCGCTCTTATCCCGGAACTGGCCAACGCCCAGCTGTCTGGCACCGTTGGACCTACTACCAAGGCCGCTACCAAGGCCGCCAAGAAGACATGTAACATCACCAGCTACGGCGCCAAGACCGGTGCCACCGGTGACATCGGCGCGGCCCTCAAGTCCGCTTGGGACGCCTGCAAGACCGGAGGTGAGATCCTCATCCCCGCCGGTGAATGGGGTCTCGGCACTTGGCAGACTCTCTCCGGCGGAACCGGTGTTTCCATCAACCTCGAGGGTACCATCTACCGCACTGGAACTGCTGGCGGCCACATGATCATCGTCCAGAAGTCAACCGATGTCGAGTTCTACAGCGGCAACTCCAAGGGTGCTATGCAGGGCTACGGCTACGAATTCCACAAGCGTAAGACATTCCCACTCCAACCAATCGCCACCACACAATACTGACGATTTGACAGAGGGCAGCGGTGTCTACGGACCTCGTCTCCTGAGATTCGTCTCTGTCACCGACTTCAGCGTTCATGACATTGCTCTCGTCGACTCTCCGGCTTTCCACTTCGTCATGGACACCGTCACCAACGGAGAGGTCTACAACATGATTGTCCGCGGTGGCAACCAGGGTGGTCTTGATGGCTTCAACTTGATGGCTGCCAAGAACGTGCACGTTCACGACGTTGCCGTCACCAACAAGGACGAGTGCGTCACTGTCAAGAACAAGTCTAGCAACATTCTCGTCGAGAACGTTTTCTGCAACTGGTCCGGTGGCTGCGGCATCGGCTCATTGGGCGTTGACACTGGTACGTTTAGGCTCCGAGAGAAATCTCTCCATTACTATGCAATCACTAACAAGAGTTGTTTATAGCCATCTCCGACATCCACTACCGCAACGTCTACACCTCCAACTCCAACCAGATGCTCATGATCAAGAACAACGGTGGTGATGGTGCCTTCCAGAACGCCAAGTTCGAGAACTTCATCGGCCACGGCAACGCCTACTCCCTCAAGATCGACTCTGCCTGGACCGGCCAGAGCAAGGTCGCTGGCGACGGTGTCGAGTACAAGAACCTGACCTTCTCCAACTGGAAGGGCACCGCCGCCAACGGTGCCGCTCGCGGTCCCGTGGTCGCCCTCTGCGCTGCCGCCGTTCCTTGCGAGAACATTGACGTGTCCGGCATCAACATCTGGACCGAGTCTGGCTCGTCCATTGTCGACAAGTGCAACAACGCCTTCGGCACTGGTCACTGCATGCGCACCGGCTCTGGAACCTACACCAGCACTGCTACCACCAAGACCGTCACCAGCTACTCCGCTGCCACCATGCCCGGCCTCGTCACCGCCGGACTCGGCATCACCAAGTCCATCGACATTCCCGCCATCCCCACAACCTTCTACCCTGGTGCCAAGCCCGCCAGTGCTCTTGCTGGCGCCGCTTAAGCGCGAGAAGGCCATGAACATGAAGCAACCAGTACCCGGCTCGACAAGAAACGAGCCGATCTCATTTTCCTGTACATAGTTACTTAATTGGAAAAGCCAAGCTGCACATATCATTCGGGAAATGATTATCAATTTTCTCTGGCGTCTATCACATGATTCAAATTACTCTAATCACCGACTGACTGCTGTCTTATTGACTCCCGACCTGTGACCTGATCCAATATTCGTCCAAATGACCCATGGTGACCGATTTCGTTTCCTTGACGCCGACAAACTCTCTCAGCTTCCCCCTTAGCAGGTACGTCGGGGTACAGCTCCAAGCGTGACAGAAACTGTTGTTTCGAGCATCTCCGTAGGGACTTGCCCGAGGGTCTTCGGGGTTGTAGCATTCCCAAAAAGTGTCTGCACCGGCGCGGACCATACCTCCCCAGTAGCTGGTCATGATCTCCACACACTTATCGAACAAGCCCACGGTAGCGAGGGCATCACACACATGATGCCATAGGTAAGGGGTCAGGGGCTTGAGAGCATCGGGGTGTGCAAGTGTGTTAATCAGGGCAGCCTTAGCTGTTTCCTGAGGATATGCTTCTGCAAGAACAAGCCAAGACGCCGACGCAAAGCTAACCTGTCCCTTGGGGCCAGATACGAAGACATTGTCTGGAGAAAGAAACACCTTCGCTGCTTCGGTCATTTGGGCCACGAGGTCCACAAAAGGGACCTCCTTGCCGAGAACCGTGGCCAAGGAGTTAGCTGCTTTCAGACAATACAGCAGAACCCCGTGTAGTCCCGCGCTGTGTTCCAGCCCAGGCTGCCAGTCAAGGAACTTCCATCCTTCACCCTTGGACTCATCAAACGCGTGAGTGTTAGCATCAAGATGCGTGAGAGCCCGCTTCACGCAGCCGAGGACGGTGGGCCAAAGGCTGTGACCCGCAGCTTTGTCGCCCGATGCCACCACGTAGTCATACGTAATGGCGGCGAATAACGCGTCGTAGTCTACAATGTAGTCGGTCGAAGGCGTGAGCTGAGGCTGTTCAAAGATGCAAGCTGGCACAGAGTCATCTTCGCGCACCACAGCAGCAAATTGGAAGATGCAGCGCTTGACGAGGTTGAAGTCCCGGAAGGTGCTGTAGTTTGCAAGTGCTTGAAGCCGAAGATCTCCGCTCCAGAGCCGACGATCCCTTCGAGGTCCATCCTCAAAGACGGTTTGCATGCAATCTCTCAGTGTCGATATGCTAACGTGGTCAATCTGCTGGAGGAGAGAATCGTTGAACTGCGGAGCCTCCAGGGAGTGGTTCTGGCTGATGGCGCTAACACATTGACATTTGACGTCGGAAAATGTAACCTTGTATTTGGGTGAGGTGTCGATGACTTCAACTCGAAGGAAGCGGAACGAGTATCGTCGAGATAGAGAGACCTCCTCAGGGCACATGTCGATATTGATGATTTCGTCCGGAAGCCAGCTAGTGCTGATCCATGTCTTGACATTTTCCATGCCGAGAGTCACGTCCAAAGGAGATTCGCCGAATGTGAGGCGCAACCTGCACGGGGCGTCCATGTGCGAGCCCCGGGACTCTAGTCTCATTGAGAGATATCCCACCATGTGAATACCAAAGTCGAGAATGAAGCCATCTCCTTTCCCCCAAGTCTTGGTCGGCAACTTGTCAATGGGATATTCCGCAGGCACGGCACGGATACCAAAGTATTGGCCCTCGTCTTTGTCAAATGTGATGACGCGTTGAGGTGTTCGTGTCCATCGCTGCAGCTGCGGGCACAGATCATTGGCAATCTTTTCAAAGTCTCGGTTCCAGCGCGTCGGAAGCACGCTCTCGACCATGTCCTCGGGAGCATCTGCCATGGTGGGTGGATGGCTCAAAGTCGACTAGGGAGTAAGGTAGAGACTATTGTAGCAGTCGGAAGGACAAGGCGCGTGATTGGGGGCTGGAAATGAACTTGAGATTTGTGTTTCGTCTGTGGTTGCCAGCAGAACATGGGTTTAGGTCCAGGTCGTTGGAGATGCTTTTGAAGACGCCACGATCCCAAATAGAATCCATAAACGCTTCGGTGTGACAACCACCCGAGAAGGGCAATCGAAAGCACCGAAGCTCGAGATGAGGGGAATGTGGCTGACGCTTCTGATTGCTCAATCGGGACTTTTCAGACCCATGGCGATGTCGGCGTGGAGACCATTTCTGGGGCCGGTGCGGGGATATACCGAGGAAGAGTCAGGATTCATGACAAGCTGAATCGACAAGCGTCTGGAACTCCAATGGCCCAGGTCAGCTGGACGCAAGAAGGTGGTTCAACAACGGCAGAACTACGGATGAGCTGCGGGCGGACTAGCATAGTCTTCGTCTCGTAAGGTCCTTGTTCAGGTTTTGCGAGAGCCTTTGCCTCCTTGGCGGCACCATTAGACCGAGGAACGGCCCCAAGCTAGAAGAGGCTCCTCTACGCAAATGCCGAGCTGCCACAAGTTCACAACACGCCTGCTCTCTCGATTTGCTAAACACAAGAGAACGCCGTACTGGGTGCTGGAATACGGTAGTTGTCGGTCGTCTCAAGAAACAAAGAGCATATTCAAGCACAACTTCCATCACGACAACAACAACCACCTAGGTCCCCAGAGACTCGCAGCAAACTGCGATCATGATGATGCTCAGGTCAACCCCCCGCATCTTTCATCTGCATTTTTTTCATGCACGAGCCGGGATATAGCCGTGTCTGTGGGGTCCCCAGACTACACTACCGAAACGGCGGGTCATTGACACCTTTGGCCCAGGCCAGAGTCCATGTCCAGAACCTGGCCACCGCTGGCGTGGACGACTGGCATCGGCATCAAGTCCAAGTTCATCTCATGGCTCAGTCTGACTTTCACCCTTTGGGTTAGCAGCCATTCGGCCACAACCAACCAAAGCGCACAGGTTATTCTTCGGGACATAGACTGACTCGAGAGGCTATCTACCGCACCGCGCTATTGACAACCTCCCTTGGTCAACACTTGCCGGCAACATGGCGGAACCATCAGTGAAACGCACTCCCACGGCTCCCACCATGCAGACAGCCCGGCCCCTCCCCCGCAAAAGTTAACCAAATGGTTGGGTGAGGAGGCGGGCCTACCTTCAGGTCCATCACGCCTGACCTCGGACCTGACGAGGAATGCCACCAGGGAGAAAAGGGGCTTGCGCTATAGACTATGGGTTATTGTCGGCCGATCATTGAGACGACGTTGATCCGAAGAAGTGCCTGCAACTGCCTCCATCTGAAAGGCTTTTGAAAAGTTCTGGACAATAAGAACCGGGGACATTCCCGGCTTGGTTGCACTTTGCCCTAGTTCCCCAGTCTCGAACTCCTCAACTTCCCCAGATCGTCGGTGCTTCCCCGGATTTTCTCTTAACTTTAAGTTGTTCGGCCCGACGTCTTCAAACATCTTCGATATTTCCATTTCCTCACCCAGAGTTGACAGGAACGGCGATCATGGACGACAAACACCTTGAGGCGCACCCGACATCCATCGTCGACAAGGACGACATCGCCGCGGCCAAGGGCGAACACGTGGAGGAGATTGGCCACGCCGCGACGGCAGAAGATCACGACGAGACTGTTTTACAAGCCATCAAGAACCAGCCGTGGGCGTTTGTGTGGTGCATTTACGCCATATACGTCCTCATCCTCACCAGCTTTGACAACCAGGCGGGAGGAACAGTCATTGGAATCCCCCAGTTCCGCAAGGATTTCGGTTCCGAATTCAATGGCAACTATGTTCTCCCTGCAAAGTGGCAATCTGCCTACAGCGGAGCCCCTGTCGCATCGTATGTGCACTGTTCCTATAGCTTCCCGTCATGAGCTAACGTTACTCTCCATCACAGTGCCGTCGTTGGATCCCTCGGTGCTGGCTGGGTGGCCGACCGCATCGGCCGCAAGTGGACCTACTTCATCAGCTACGCCTTCATCTTTGCAGGCATCACTTGCGAGACAGTAAGCACCACCAACGAGATCTTCTTCGCGGGCAAGTTTATTGCCGGATTTCCCATTGGCGCTTTCATCACGGTCAGCATGACATACATTGGCGAGATCGCGCCCCTGGCTCTCCGCGGTATCTTGACCGCCGCTGCGGCTATCGCCTTCACAATTGGTCCATTCATCGTCAGTCTGGTTGTCAACGAGACTGGAACTAGAACCGACCGCTGGGCTTATCGCACAATCTTTGTGTCTCAATACGGCATCAGCGGCATTGGTGCTCTCTTGCTGTTTTTCATGCCCGAGTCACCGTGGTGGTTGGTTAGCAAGGGCAAGATGCAGAAGGCTGCCAAGTCCCTGAGCCGTCTTGGCTACGATGCGGTCCAGGTCGAGAAGCGCCTATCTGTTATCACTCTCACCCTTGCTGAGGTACGCAAGGAGACCGACGGCGCCAGCTTTGCTGAGTGCTTCCGCAAGTCCAACCTTCGCCGCACCATCATTTCCGTCGCACCTTTGAGCATCCAGGCTCTGTGCGGTACGTTATTCGTGTCCCTTCACAATTCTGCCCTTGACTGACTCTGTCTAGGTGTCTTCTTCGTTGCATCATACTCTACCTACTACCAGCAACTGGCCGGTTATAGCACAAAAGAGAGCTTCACGCTGGCCATCGTGCAGCAGGTCATGTCCATGCTCGGTAACGTCACCGCATGGTTCCTTATTGATCGAGTTGGTCGCCGCGGCCTCACTCTCTGGGGTATGTGCATCCTGACGGTCCTTCTCATGATTACTGGTGGTCTTGCGGTGGCTGCCACACCTGGTGCCGTCAAGGGAACCGTCGCACTGCTGCTGGTGTACTGCTATATCTACAACGTCACCATTGGAGCCACGGCCTATTCTCTCTTGACCGAGGTTGCAACTTCGCGTCTCCGTGCCAAGACTGCCTCCATGGCTTTGGCTTTGCAAAACAGTCTCTTCGTAAGTTGAAACCTGCCACCAAATGTCATTCTTGATATGGTTGATACAGAAACTAATCCTTTCTTCCAGACCATGTGGGCCTTTGTTATCCCCTTCCTCTTCAACCCCGATCAAGCCAATCTCGGTGCCAAGGTGGCCTTCATCTTCGGCGGCCTTTCCGTTCTGTCCACTGTCTATCTCTGGTTCTACCAACCCGAGGTTGCTGGGCGGTCTTACGAGGAGCTCGATGAGATGTTCATCAAGCAAGTCCCAGCTCGGAAGTTCAAGGGCTACAAGACAGAGGTGCAGGAGAAGAGTGAAAGGGCAGTTGCGCACCAGCAATGATCTGTCACACAGTTCATTGATCTTTGACCTGGTGTAGTTAAGATGATTTCAAGGTCATATTAGTTAGACGACGATTGCTTTGATTCTCGAAACCATACGCAAGTAAGCAGGAAGCGTCAGACATAAGAATATAGTACTTAATGGAACTCCCCAAGACCACACGAACTTCCGCTGCTAATGTGATTGTCGACAACAACGCCTCTTAAAAGGCAAGTGAAACAGATATTAATACTTGGCAACGTTCAGAAGACATATTTAACAATAGTATCTATTTGTATATCAGGAGAAAAGCCGGTTTATCTTCTGCCGGCACACAAAGGCGGAGTTGAAGGCATTTATTGACCAAAGTCGTCCTGCAACATCTTTTATGGAAGCATCTTCGAATCAGAATTCCAGCCAATGACGCTAGTCTGAACCGGTCACTCATATATTCCACGTCTACTTCAGCCTCGGAGCTCCGTACCCCTTGGCGCTTGATGTCTTTTACGGATCACGGCGACCTGCGTCGTCCCAGATAATGATCAAGGCGGTAGCTACCCGAATTTTGACATGCCATCAAATATCATTACTAGGAGATCGCTGCTCGCCTCACCTGTTGTTCTCCTTTAGTAACCTCGGATACAAGGCCATGGCCGATACCAGCCGACATATCTCGCCGCCTCTCAGGTATCACATTTTGGTCCATCTCTGGGCGCGAACCTCATTGAAAATAGGGTACCTGCTTGGAATAGCCTATCTCAAATTCAATTTTCGGATCGCCGGCTGCCATAAGACTCTGCATGTGCCATCAGAGCGACCGTATCTCGTTGTCCTTATCCACTTGGCAAAAGCGAACCTTTGTTGCATGTGATTTGCGCGGCACTCACTTGTAGACATCGTCGTTCGCCAAAAGTGGGTTCAACGGTATGGCCCGGAGATTTTGTATTAGGAAAGGAGTTCGTAGGATCTTTGGACGGAGGCCTGTTCCTTCGCGATCAGTGTGACGGGCGCACATACAGGATGCGCTTCCAGAAGGTTGGTGATGGCATCATTTCAGCAATTCAGACGTTGTCATCCACATCTTGGAGAAAAATAAGTGGATCAATTTCACGAATGGAAATGACGTAACGATCATCAAACAGCATCACTTGAACTCGAGTGGCAAGTGGGATTTCGTATCCTCATATGAAGACTGACATGTTGGCTAAAAAATCCGCTTTGGCAGCTGTCGCAAACTTACGCGTGTTTCACAAGAATCATAGCACGTAGGCGGTCAGGTTTGGGGGGGAAATGGAACCTGTACGGACATGGATTGATGTCGATTCGTGGGAAACTGATCGTACATCTGTGTCCGTGGACTTGTAGAGACACCATTGAACATTTACTCTGTTTCCCAGTAGCCAAGAGTGAAACCCAGCGCCCGTCATGTGCTTGCTGTGTATGGAGTACGAAAATGTGATCCGAAGATCCGGGAGTGGAGTCGCGTGTTTCTCAGGCTCTATCTGTACGGAGTATCCGTACGGAGTAAGGTAATGTCGTTGCCACTCTGCGAATGCGGCGGTCCGCGATGTTGGATCTGGGGGCGGAGACCGCACGTGGTAGCGTCTCTGGATCCGCGGTCTTTTGCTGACCCAGTTGCGCAGCTAACCAGCCCATTGATAATCATTTCCGCTCTCAATGCGGGAGCCGACGGGGATGCTGGACATATCCCTTTCTCGCATACTGCATCGAAGGCGACACAATGCCAAGTTCCCAGTCCGTAAGTATCACTCTTTCTGATAATAGTCACTTAGCTCTTCCGTAACGGGCATCGAGGGATCAGTCTTGCGCGCGCAAAGACTCAATTGTAGATAGATGGCTGTCGGAGGATAGCGAAGGAGCCAGGCTGACAAGCTGTGAGCCAGGCTCAGTTTCGCATTGGCGTCGTCGGAGCTCACCTTAAGCTTATCATCAGAAACACTTCACGTGCCTGTAAAGAGAACAGAGCTATGCTGTCGTCCCCAGGTTCCCAGCCAACAGACTCGATTGGAATGGCGGAGCCGACCGAAGCTGAAAAGCGAAAGGCATGGCACTTTTGTGCTGGGCCAATCTCGACAGCCGAGTCGCACGCGCTCGTTGACTGGATTGGGCACACAGATACGACGGCTGCAATCCGCAACCTAACAGGCCCGACAACCTTGCTCATGTTCCCCAGGATGGCGTGGAGCACATCCTCTGCCCGCCCGGCGCCTGGCACCCTTAGTGCGCGCACTAAGATGCGGATGCTGAGGCATGGGAGTGAGAAGGGGGGACGGACTGGGGATGGCAGATGCGCCCAGGCCCAGGCCCTTTTGTGTTGGTCAATTTGGTGCTTGTGCTGAAGAGGAACTTTGGACTTCTCGTCTGACAGTGACGGTCTGGCAGATGTTCATCCCCAGGTCCAGTCTTCTCGGCCCCGTCCGACGACACAGGACCAGACGAGGAACTGAGGGCATTGATCGAGAGGGCTGGGGAAAGCCCAAGATTGACTTTCTGTCGACACTACCTACCTATATACGACCCTCCAACAGTTTGCACTTGCTCTATCAACTCAATCACAAGAGTGCGGTCCTGGTCAGGAATCCGAAGCATAGGGCTCGCTTACTGCTTGCAATTACGAATGACAGGGCTAGCTCGCCAATCTTGGCTTTTCATTTCGCACATTGCTCCAGTAGTGCGCAAGGCGAAAGGGCACATTACTGAGAAACCAATTGAGCATCCGCATTCGTACAACTTCGAGGTAAAAGCCTACGGATACAGTAGCAGGGATTGCGCTTATCGTTGATCTCACGGTACTGTATCGCAAGGTCAGCAGCCATGCGTCTCTTTGGCAGCAGGCCAAGATCCTGTGCCTCAATCAAGCGTCAGACATTGATACTTTGACAGTACGTCTTGAGCAGGTGACAACTGTCGAGCCTTCGCATCTCAACTTATGCCGTGGGCTTGTGTGCTCACCGGCCTCTAGCGGCCCTTTCGATCCATGGCTTGTGGCGCCGCGGCGGCTGATGCAGCTATCGCCAGCCAGTCCCGATTCTCTGCATGTCTCCGTGTCTCTCTGACAGCTTGGGGGTCACTTCGTGCGCCTCTTAGGGTCTTGGACGTCGGCCCCTTGGCCATGTCTGCGCCCAGCAGAGCGGAAGGATCTGCCACACACCTTTCCATCGTACAGAAACAGGCCCGGTCTTGAGCCTATCAGGAACCCCTTAATGATCTTAGTCAAAGACATCGGACGTGATCCCCGGGAACCCACTGCCTCGACATTGCTGGGGGCACCAGAGTCTCAAATCCTTTAGATGACGGTGCTCCGTACTTTGTCCGAGTATCTACGAGTCTACTGCGTACGGAGTACATATCCGCTGACCGCTGCTAGTGCTTGGCCGTGATACATGACAAGAGAAGAAACGAGCAGATCTCATCATGAGATGGTTCCAGAGCCATGATTCGTGCGTGGACTCGGCCGACGCGTCTCGCCTACGAGTTCGGCCAGTCTCGATCCTTGCCAGGACCGCCAACTGTTTGTCCAACGAACCCGGCAACCTTTTCACACCCACACGCTAGCCCTGCCCTTTTGCTAGACCATCTCTCCCACGTCCAGTCCCGTCTCTCCAATCTCAGTCGACTCCACCGCAAGTATCCATCGTTCCATCAACCTTCCAGAACCGGAAGCACGCCGTTAGCTTTGCCACTCAAGTCGAGAGCTAAAGGTCTTGGCCCGGCTCTGATCGAGAGTCTGTGCCGTTGGGTGCGGCGACTATCCCTGCCCAGCTACTGTCAAAATGCAGAAAATGAAAAAATTACATTCCTTATCGCAAGCACACCGAGCAACAATAAAGGGTTCCAGACTAAATTTTTCTGATTAACCCAACCGGTATCTTGACCCCGTCAACTTAGAGTATCGGTGGGCCTTGGCGTGCGCGAGTGGGTTCGGTTTCGATTGCTCGACAGTTACCTTTTCCCGTCACAACACCGTCTCTCTGGCCCAAGTGGCCGGCAATAGCTTCACCAAGGGTCCAAAAACCTGAGAGAGTATCAATAGCGTCGTACTATGAGGAAACAAGACCAAAAAGTAATGCTGATAGACCCCAGAGTATCCGTATGGTCCATCAGCCTGACACTTCACGAGAACCGGCGGCGGCCGGCCCACACACAGACTGGGTGGCTTGCCACTCTCTCGTCTGCCCGTCTCCAAAGATATCGTCTTGCCTACTCTTTCAATCTGCTCCAATCTCGTCCCTGATTCTCGCGTTGGCGTCCTTCGGACCTGCTCCCCTCCCACACTCCCTTGCTACACCCTGGCCACCCAGTATCTCTGGTGCAGCAGTTGTTCGTCAATCCCACACCCGTGAACCCTGTCGCCCATCCCATCCCGCACCCCTCGTTGGCTAGCCGTTCGTCCAGAATCTGGGTCAATCCACCGAGATGGGCACCGAACCGCATGAGGGTTTCCTCCTCCACACCACAAGGGCGGCGAACTCCATCCTGACCTGGTTGCTGATAAGGTCGACGAGTCGTAGGCATTGCTTTACTTGCCTAGCCTAGCCTCGGCACTACTTTCGGATTTCTTCATCGTCGCACTGGGGCTTTTTAAAGAGAGCTTCCCCTCGAGACTCATTTATTGTAAGGGTCTTGTCTCGTGCAGCTGCTTCTCGAGTCTCTCGCCGTCAACTTCCCCAAAGTACGCCAGGGCGCCTTCAACTGCGTGGCCCACGGTCTCCTCGTTACGGCAGACCACTGAAAGAACTGGTTGTCAAACCGCTCAACGCCTCTTTCAGCCCTACCTTTTCCCCATCTTTCCTCTTCTTTATCGGTGCGCTTCCAAGAAGCATATCCTTCAGCCATGTCTTCCCAGGTCACCGAGGTCAACCAGACCACCACCACGGCCGGGAGCACACCACCCCGTCGCAGCTCGGACCCGGCGCTGGAAATTCACAACCAGCACCAGCATCAACATCTGCACCACAGCGCTCGTGTCGATGCCAAGGGTCACGACGACAATGTAACCTACACCAGGACCGGAGAAACGACCGTCCCGCACCAGAGCCACCTACACGAGCACTCTGCCCAGCCCCACGACATTGAGAAGGGCGACAAGCTCAGCGGACCCCCTGATTACGATGGCGAGAAGACTGGCGTCGTGGCCTCCAACGATGAGGAGGAGAAGAAGCCCTCCAAGTTCAAAACCTTGTACAGCAGGCACAAGTGGGTTTTCCACCTCTTCCTCTTCTGCTTCTTCACCGGCTGGTGGATTGCCTCGCTCATCGAGCACCGCAATGACAAGAACTGGGTTATTCCGTTCCTTGTTTGGCTCTGCATCTCTCTCCGCCTCCTCTTCTTCTACGTCCCGAGCTCCTACGTCTCCCGGCCGATCAAGTTTGTGTGGCAACACACTGCTCTTGTTATCTACAACGCCATTCCTGCCAAGTTCCGCACTATTGCCGGTGCTGCCGTGACGCTCGCTGTCATGCTCGTAGGCTCTTTCGTCTCGGAGGAGTCGGCCGACAACAACCGCGAGAACCGTGCCGTTTCCATCTTCGGTCTCATCGTCATCCTGGCCTGCTTCTGGATAACTTCGAACGATCGCAAGCGTATCAACTGGCGTCCCGTTATTGGTGGTATGCTTTCGCAGTACATTATTGCGCTTTTTGTCCTTCGCACCGGCGTCGGTTACGACATTTTCAAGTTCATTGCGGATCGAGCTGGTGACTTGCTTGGCTTCGCCAACCAGGGAACGGCCTTCCTCACTGCTGAGAGTGTGCTTGACCTTCACTGGTTCATCACTGGCGTCATTCCTCCCATCATCTTCTTCGTCGCCATTGTCCAGGTCCTGTACTTCATCGGTTTCCTCCAGTGGTTCATCGGCAAGTTCGCAACCTTCGTCTTCTGGGCCCTTCGCGTGTCTGGCGCCGAGGCTGTCGTCGCTGCTGCCACTCCCTTCATTGGTCAGGGCGAGTCTGCCATGTTGGTTCGTCCTTTCGTCCCTCACATGACCAAGGCCGAAATCCACCAGATCATGACTTGCGGCTTCGCAACCATTTCTGGTTCCACTCTCGTCGCCTATATCAACTTGGGTCTCAATGCCCAGGCCATGGTGTCGTCCTGCGTCATGTCCATCCCCGCCTCCATTGCCATTTCCAAGCTTCGCTACCCCGAGAAGGAGGAGACTTTGACTGCTGGAAAGGTCGTCATCCCTGACGACGATGAGCATGAGGCCAAGAACGCTATCCATGCTTTTGCAAACGGTGCTTGGTTGGGTATCAAGATTGCCGGTACCATTGTTGCATCGATTCTCTGCATCTTGGCCTTCATCGGTCTCGTTGATGGTCTGCTGACCTGGTGGGGTGGCTACATCAACATCAACGACCCTCCTCTGACTCTCAACCTGATTACCGGTTACATCTTCTACCCGGTTGCGTTCCTCCTGGGTGTTCCCCGTAACGGCGACCTTCTCAAGGTTGCCCGCTTGATTGCCCTTAAGGTTATTGCTGTAAGTGCAACTCCTTATCTGAATATTGCTTGACCACTCGACTTCAGGTACTGACTGGTATGTGAATAGAACGAGTACGTTGCCTTCACCGAAATGAAGACGCCCGAGTACCTCGATCTCTCTCCCCGTTCCCAGCTCATTGCGACCTACGCTCTTTGCGGTTTCGGTAACATTGGATCCCTTGGTATTCAGATCGGTATTCTTGGCCAGCTAGCCCCCAGCCGTGGTGGCGATGTCAGTGCCATGGCGATTTCTGCGCTCATTTCTGGCGTCATGTCGACTCTGACGTCGGCCGCTGTTGCAGGCCTTGTTGTTACTCACCAAGTAACGAACCTCGCTGCTAGTGCTTAGGTCACTGGTTGGTCTTGAGAATCCGAGCTGGATAGATGTTTCCATTCGATGGACATTGTTGAAACGAGAAAATATGACTAAAAGATGTACGATGTTGAGGAAGAAGTGTGCTTGTACAGCGCCGGTTGATGAGAGAAGAATATACACAGTAGTTAATAATACCCAGGGCACCTGCTAGCAAGCGAGCTGGATAATTCAACTCGTAGTATCAACCAAGCGTGAACTGAGGTAAAAACAAGGCGTCAAAGAGTCCTCATATACCACTGTTGCTCGACTGGCAAAGACGTGATCGAAGACGGTTTTGCGCAATCCGTACTCTTTAATAATGCAATCCTCCCAAAAGTTTTCCCATGTTCTAGCACATTGCCCCGCCGCCGTCTAAATCCGGCTGATCTCCGTGAGTCAGGCCGAAGCAGTATCCGCCATCCTAAGCCTAGTTGGATCCGCATCAAGCAAAAAAATTTGCGTACCAAGGACGACAGGCATAAATCCGCCGGCCTCCAACGGGCATCGGCGCCGGCCGTAGGCAGCAAGAACGGCTTTGCGACTGGCATTTGAGCCTCGCCCTCCTCGGCCTTTGCTGTTTGTGAAGCGTAATAAGAATGCCAACCAGTTGTTCTCGAACGCAAGTAGGAATGCTCCACGCTTCCACCAATTCATCTTGGTGCTTCTGGCTTCAGTCGCTAGTCGCTGGTCGGAAGTTTCTCGAGTGGGCCGAGCCCGCGATGAAGCCTGTTCTAAGTCGAGTGGGATACCACACGACGTGCCATTAACCCCGTCTTGAGCCGCATCTAGAGTTCAGGCGCATGAGCTTCTTAAGCCAAGATATTTGTGACCTCCGCTGAGATATTCGTTGACTTCAAGCGCTGTTGCTTAGCAACGTCCCGTCAAGTGCTGAATGGCATCAGTATATAGTCTTCCATTTTGTACCCACGCTGATCCCCCTTTGACATCCAATTGAGTGCAATGGCGAGAAAAGATACGTTATCAATACGGAATAACTTCAAATGATAGGAGATTCGTTACCGCCCCGAGTAGCAATGTCCTGACGCCATTCAGCACTCGATGGGAGACTTCGGAAGCACACTACAACTATCCTGCTACGAGAACGCCTCGGGCTCCATGCTGATCTACGCCAGCTGTCGTAAAGTGCCGCGTCGTGTGGATTTGAAGTCTGTTAAAGAGATGTAAGGTATTGCGATCCACAAGAGAGCACACTCTCCGTGACTGTTTCATAAAATCGATATCGATCTTTGACTGTGGAGGTCTGATTGACTTCGGCTTGCTCCAGTAAACTTTGGGTACTGCAGACTTTATGGGCCAGTCAAAGTCAGCCCAGGCGAGACCCAATGCCCTCTATCTGGGATAATAATATGATATTGGTAGTCATCATGCTGGACATCAACCTCATCTCACACATAGCAGAGTAATACTGAGTGAAACACCGGCTATGTGCGCGTTCTTACTTGCCTCACATGTTATCTGAGTTGCATCGTTATTATCTCCAATACCTTACTTCAACGTAATTTGAGCTACTATTCCCGCAAGCAAACAGCACGTCTCACCTGCTATCTTGCATATCGCGAGAGCATCCGCTAGTGTTTTCCTATTTGTGTAGATGTTGCAGAGGATACAATCGCAGAATCGCCTTCAATTTCAAGCATCAGACGTCAAACCTCAAGAGTAGCGTCAAAGACCAGCAAGCCGCTGCTTTGGTTGGAGTATCATTTGCTTGCACTCGTTGGATCATCGGCAAAAACTACCTCGATGCTTGGTTCCCATACAGGGATCGGGCTGAGAAGTCTCAGTCTCACCTAGAAATTTGATGATGTCCCCATATAAGTAAGTAGTCATGGTTGAAGTATCACGTGGAAGTGTGAGAAGAAGCCCATGTGCTGAGTAAGACAGTAAGACGGTGTTGATTATATACATGTACAGAAGAAAATGAGACCTCAGGGGTCGAAAAATGCCTATAGACAAGAAGTCCTCTTGGGAAATTGGAAAGGTTAACTGCATGTGTCCAAGCATTTAGCCAACGAGGAGCTATGGGACAGTTGATGTAGCGTGGGCATGCAGTTTGAACACGCCAAGGATGCATGTATCATCAGACTCATGCAGAGAGGCACTGGGAATACCACTCGTTGGTCTTGACACACTGGAAGCCGGAAACGCACGCTGTAGCGCCGGTGTAACCAGAACCACCGCACTGAGCCCAAGCGCCAACAGTTGCTCCAGAGTTAGCGGGTTGAGTCGGGACGGCGGCGGCAGTGGTGGCGGCAGCGGCAGCGGGTGCAGAGCTCAGTGCCTTGGCGGTGGGCTTGGCGGACGCAGTGCTCGCGGGGGCAGCAGAGCCGGAGGAACCGGAGCTCGAGGTGCCGGACTGCCATCCACGTTCACGGGAGAGCTCGTACCACCAGTTGCGGAGCATCCATCCGTCGAAGTCGGTGATCTGAGCGGCAGATCCAGCGAGCATAATGAAGCTGGTGACACCGGTCGGGGTCCAATCTATATTAGGGTCAGCATTGACACGGACGATCGAGTGTAACTGTTTGGGTCTCATGTCGGCAACCTGAGGATTGTATGTGTCATCACGTACCGTAGACTGGAAAAGAGGTTTGTCAGCAAAGCACTGGTAAGGAAAGTTATGGCAAATAATCAAACTCACAGTCATCAAGGCCATAGGTGTGTCCGATTTCGTGCTGAAGGATGTGGGCACTGGCAGAGTCAAGGGCGCCCATGAAGTACTCGCGACCAATACGCTGACCCCAGTCGCCGCCAGCACCACCGTTCATGCCATCGGTGAGCCAGAGAGACTGGTCGTAGTGCCGGTCAGCACCAGCCGCGCACTTGCTGTAGTCGCCGTTCTGGTTGAAGAAACGACCGCAAGACTCAGCGCACTGGGGGATCCCTTCGGCGTCCTTGTCAGTGTAGACCTGGATGCCAGATGTAGAACCCTGAAGAAGGCTTTTGTCACGAACGGCCCAACCGACAACGTTGACCTTAATATCGGTGTAGGGGAAGTTATCATAGCCATAAAGCCACTTGTACCAGCCTTGGTGGGCAGTGTTGAGGGCCTTGGCGACTTGAGTGCGCTGAGCCTCTGTGACAGAAGCACTCGATTCCCAGCGGACACAAACGTTGATGGTGCCCTTGGTGGCAATGACTTGGTCCCATCCGTAGTTCTTGAAGCCGAAGAAATTAGAGTAGGTGCTCTTGCAGTGATCCCAGACCTCTTTGAGGGGAGTGACGATGTTGGAGGGAGGGCTCCAGCCGGATTGTCTCTTGATAGGACGGTTACGGGGCATATCCTCAAAGGCTCGGGCCTGAACGGGAGCGAGGGCCTGCCACACAGATCCGTCAAGGTCGGAAGTAGTTGAGATGTTCATAGCTTGGGAAGAGGCCGCAAGCGCCACAACGGCGGCAGATGTGGTAGAGAAGCGCATGGCGATGAATGAGAAAGACAGAAAATTGACAATGTACTAAAGGAAAGAAGTGAATTTGGATCAAGAACGAATGACAAGACAACGAAGCTGGTACCAAGGACCTTGAGAAGCTGAAAATGGATGGACATAGGAGGAAAGTTTAGACGGGAAGCATCCGAAGATATACACAAACATCAACACCAAACTCCGTAATTAAGTCATCTTCGTATCAATCCAACCGAGAATTCCAAGACTCCACCTGTTTACTGAAAATGTCGAATTGATTGCTAATTCGTGTATCTGCCGTGTTGGCGGACATGGCCAAGACTTTCAACGTTCACATTTACTTTTCCTTGTGTCCTCGGAGCACTAAGGCCTCCGTACTCAGGATCAAATGCGGTTGTTCCGCCTGCATTCATTGGCGGGAGAATAAGTCAGCGGGGACTGAGCGACGATGGAAGATTAAGGACCGCTTTAAGGGTGGCGTTGGGTGTCCAAGTTGGGGAACAAATCCTACGGCGTAAAGAGGGGCTTACTGGAAGTCTTTCCTTTCTCGAATGGCTGGGCCGGAGATAAATAGCGCCAAGGCTGAGTGAGCAATTCTGGTGTGACATGCGGGTTCTGAATAGAGCACATAAGACTTGAAAAATCCGGGGAAGAGCAGACATGCATGCGGTGCTAAGGGGATGTTCAGTATCCATACGAGGCTGAGGTATCTGCCGTGAGGTGTTGTTGGCATAATTTGATGGTCTCAAGACTAGCTCGTGGATGGCTCTGTGTTACATTTACCCTTGGATCTTGGGGTCGTCCAAACTGTCACCAGGACCCGATGTTTACACTAACGGGCACAGAGGATTTTCTGTGTTTTCGGGTCGATCATCCGACCAAAAAAACAGACGACTGCCAGGACTGAGCTGGCTGGACTCTAATTAGAGGGGAGAAGAGCAGAAAAGCAGTCCATAGACGACTCAGAAGGGGCGGAAGGCAGTTTCAACCCCATCGAAAACGAGTAATGGTGAAACAGACGATTAGAATTTGCGGGACTGACATCCACGAACCTGGTAGCTCCCTGGTCATTGCTTTTTAGTCACCTTACATAAACCAAACGTGCCGGCATGGAGTCCCATCTTGGCAGCTCCATGGCCGAATTTGGATGGAACTCGGCGGTAGAGCGATTCCAGGCTCTTGGCGTCAACATGGTTTCCTCTTCATTGCACGATCCGCTTGGCCCAAGCAGGCCAAGACTTATCAACGCCCATTCGTACATGTACATTATTTCGCTCTCTGGGTCCAGTTGTGGTAGTAATATCCATGGGAAACGTTGCAATGTATTTGTAAGATTTTGGAACAGTGGATGGCTTCTGGGATGCAGATTCCGACGCACAAATTGATACAGACAATCGTCTTTGACTTGATAGGGCTGACTTTGTGCGCAACTCTCCGGATTCCCAACACCATCGGCAGCCTAGGTGGGTTGGGAAAACAGATTGAACGATCTTGATGCTCTGCAGCCATGCGGTAGTAGTAGTAGTCGATCAGCCTCATGAACTCTATTCTGTCCGACGCCCAGTAGATAGTTGACAATCCACGTGTGGTCTTACAATTAAGCATAATGCTTGACATTTTTCCGACCAGACTTTCACGCACCGGCTCTCGTTAAAGTTAGGCTTCTCCGTTGAATCCGGAATCCGAATGCCCCACATCAACTGCATTTAATCTACACTAGCGTAATAATGATCAAACTCGAAAGTCAAAGGGGTTTCCCCCTTTGAGGGCGGGAATCATTGACAGTGTACCAATCACAATTGCACATAAACGAAACTACCCGGGCATAGAGGCGGGGTTAGTTAAAGGGATACGAGATGCATGGGCCGAGACCCGGGAAAATCTCACTCGATGGAATACGGGTA